TGCGGCAAGCTGACGTGCGCCGCGAATGCGCAGCCTGGGGCCGTCATTCTGGCCTCGCCGCAATCGACAACGCGCCAAGCGGCCGACGTTCGGAGGGCTGCAAGCAGGGGCGGGCGGTCAGGCGCGCAGTGGTGCGCTTCATCAGAAGACACCCCTGCAGAACCACCACGTCTGGCCATAGCCTCGGTCCACCGACACCTACTGCGACCACGCGTCAGACCCTGTTAGAAACGTAAGGCCATCAATCGCAGGTCCCTTTTCAATCAACTCCTGCCATTGCTGCATCCGCCGTCGCTGGGCCAAGCAGCAATGGCCAGAAATGCCCGATGATGGCGTAGAGTAGCAGCGCCAAAATCTGCAACTCTGCACAATGAATCGCAGTCGCTTGTACCCCTAAAACCCGGAAGGGCCCCTGCACACCTTGCACTTGCGCTGCGAGGCGCAAATTACAAGTGAACGAGCTTAGCAGAGCTCTGCTGATACCCGTCACTCATTCAAAGATGCTAGCGATGTAAGCAAAGAAACCAACGTGCGCGGGCGAAGGGGAACCCAACCTGGCCACGGCCGCGTGAAAGCCCAGTCTTCCAAGGATAATTGCACCCTGCCAAAAAGGAATCCGCAGAACAAGTCGACCAAACATGACTAGCCAAAAGGGCGATACCGCCTGTGGGCCCACGGGTTGACTGGCAAGAGACAACTATCCACCGAACACCGATATTCTCTTCAAGACGGACTGGTCGTTACTCCTCCATGTCAGGCAGCGTCGCAGCGAACTCGTTTTGTTGATCTGCGCATTTGGAGCGTCGGTGGGAGGGGGGGGGCAGCGCGCGATGAACTTCCATAGGTCCACAGGTAGGCCGCGTGGGGGCGCTGTTTCTGTTGGCCTACCTGTGGAGCGACGGGCATATCCCTTTCAAATCATCCTCTGCCTCGCCCTTAAAACCTGGCCCGTAAAATCTGCATCCCAAACCGTTGTCAAAGCGATCCTCTGACAGGGAAGGGAGAGCAACTAGCAGCGCTGGTTGACCGCCGAGAGGGCCTCGCTGTGCGACAAAATCTGCCACGTCTGGATGGTCGGTCGCATGCAGATCGGCCATTTGAAAAAATGGCTGAGTGGTCCAACTGTCGCGCAGGCAAACCTTCTACAGAGCCAGTGGACCAGAGACCACCTGAGCGCGTTCCAGGCGCCCCATATTTGATCTGAAAGCGACTCCACGGGTTGATGTCGGTTCGTATCTCGGGGTTGCTTGAGCTGCTTTGTCACCGAGAAAAACTGGGATTGCACGGGCGTGAGCTCCTGGAACTGCACGCCGCCGGCAATCAGAATTGCGGGAAGAACACCGAATTGATCTCTGAGTTCGAACCGCTGTCGGAGTAGAGCTCGTTGAGATACGCGCTTGTGGTCGCAATCGGCGTCGGCTTCGGCATGCCTCGCAAAACACTCGAGAGCAATGCGTCGCGCGTCTCCGGCGAACTGTTCCCAGGCCCAGTCGGGGGCGGCTGTTCCTTCGAGTTGGGGCCAGGCGGGGAAGGTGCGGAAGCGCATGTCCTCAATCTCCTTGAAAAATCTGTCACGCCGAAGGCCATGCACAACACCGCCAAACAACCCGTCATTATCCCAAGACTCAGCCTGTGTACGGGGCGCCGCAGGGAAGCTGAGCAGGTACTTCACTGAAACCTGCAAGGGCCAGTGGTCCCACTTGCGGACCGTGGGGATCAATTGGAGGCGTCTGCCGAGATTATGGAAGACTCGGCGTTGGGTATCTGAGGAGAACCAGGTACGGGGAGGCCCACATGCAGTCAACTCGAGTACTGTCCAGCTTCCCGAAGTATGTGTCCGCACCGCCGATGTGGAAAAATTGAATTGTTCAAAGTATACTATCATATTCTTCATGCAGTGATGTTCGGGTCTAGGAAAGAGGGGTCAGATTGGGTCGAATTCGTCCGAAATGTGTTCAGCGGGCGGCACTCCAATGTGGTCGTTCAGGTCACCGCCGAAGACTATCGAGCATAGGGCTGGCTGTTCACTGGATGTGTATGCCATCCATTTGTTTCTGGTGCGCGCTCCTGTGCTTAGCCGTTGACGGGCGTGGCGGTGGAGGAGGAAGACGAGGAGGAGGAGGAGGAGGAGGAGCAGGAGGATGAAGAGGGGGATGAGTCGAGCGTGCCCGAGGAGGAGGAGAGGGAGGAGGTGGGGGGGAGGCGGAGGAGGAGAAGGGGGGCGGAGGAGGAGGCGAAGGAGGAGGAGGAGGCCGTTCAGGGGCCACGGCCCACGTCCTGCAGACCTCGACCCCCGCACGCTTCCTGCCCCCGCGCTTACAGTCCAGCCGATGCCTTCCGTAGTTTACGGCGAAACCCCCAGAGGTGTCCCTTGGGCGCGAATAGTGCGGGATGACGATTAATAAAAAATGGGAGGGAACGATTACAAAAATGGCTTTCTGCTATTTCGGCATAATTTTCTGACTGGAGGAGAACGATGAAACAAATAGTTTTCCAGCCCGCGGCCGGTTTTTTCTAATCGTCATCCCGGGCGCCGCCGCGTGAACACGACCCCCGGTCATTTATTAATCGTCATCCTCCATTAATAATAGAGGGCAGAAGATCCACCCGAACCACCCCGACACGCGAAGCCGTTTAGTAAACGCACCCAAAGAAGGAATCAAACAGGATCAAACAGGGCAGGGCTGTTTAGTAAACGCTCACGGCCGTTTAATAAACGCCACCTGTCCGGTCCGGGTGGATTTTCCTCCCTTGAAATAAACTCGGGGGCGCGCATCTATGGATCTGCGATCCATGAGTTTGGCGCGCGGTCGCCAAGTCCATGGATCGGGGGAGGTGCCCTCCCCCAAAATGCGGCCGGTGCCGCCCTGTTCGGCGGCGGAAGTCCGCGATTTCCCATGGAAACGGGACCCGTCGCCAATCCACGCCCCCTTGATCCATGTTTGCGATCGCCTGATAAACATGAAGGGGAACTGGGACACACAAATAAATACACACAAATAAAATGATTCCCAATATTTTCCCATATTTTCTGGGTTTTTGTCTTCCCCCCCACTTCCCATATTTTCCCATATTTTCTGGGAATCGCAGATTAATTGTGTCTGTGTGTTTTTTTCCCTCCTAACAAACATAGATCGCCCCCCCAATTACGCGCCCTCCAAGTCTCGACCCGTTCCCCGGGACCTGCTTTTCATCCCGAGTCGTTCTTGTGGACGGTCTGGGGGCCCGGCGAAAGCCCCCCAGAAGCCGAACATTGCCAAAAACCTCCCGTTGTGATTTTTGTGTGCGAGAATCTCTGAGATCTGGCGGATCTGGAGGATGTCTCGGCCCTTGTCCTAGCCCCGTCCGAACATTGGAGGTCTGGATTGCCGTCCGCCCGAAACTGGCCCCTTGCGCAACTGGTCCCCTGGCTCGATACCCCCTCCTTGACGACATCTCCTCCTCGTTTTGCACCGCCGGGCGCGTCGGCTGGGCAGGTTCCCCCGCGCTTCGCCGTGGCACTTGCCCACGGCCTGCGCCTTGAGCGCCCGAAACCTCCGACAGCTATTGGGACGAAACGATCAAAAAACAAAGTGTGCAGGGAGGATTGAGCAAACAATACTTTATCGTCTGGGACTGTGGCTGTGGCCTGGCGGCCCTTACGGCGACGACCCGAAACCTGCCCCCAAAGGGCAGAAACTTAGGAAGATCGCCGGGTCTGAATCAAAACATGTCCCGAGAGGATCGGGGAGACGTGGGCCTCGGGTCGGCCCGACGGGACCATCCTGGAAATGACGAGGCCCGATCTGAAATTTGACGCGGACTCTCACTGCAAACATCCCACGAAAATTGGCCCGTCAAAATCCAAGACACGCTCGTCAAAAAAACGTCGGCACACCCGAGTTTTGGTTTGCTTGAGTCTTACGTGCCAGGAACAATGCAACTCACACTTACAATTTCTCGGACGTCAGAGAACTTTTGTTTATGCAACTCCACTCTTTCAGCGCTGCTCGGCCGTGCCGAAGGCACTCCTAAAGTGCCTTCGGCGCTGCCGGATCGGTAAAAAGGTACTTTCACAGTGCCTCAAGGTACTCCGAAAGCACCTTCGGCGCAAGCCCGAAGGCACTGTTCTTCGAAACATCTCTTCGGAGATCTCGAAAGACTCGAAGATTCTTTTTAACAGCAAAAGCATAAACATTTGAAGGTCCGCGCGGCTTTCTTGCCCTCTCCCTGACACGCGGAGCGCGCCAGGGGCGGCGCCGCCTGGGGGGGCTGGGGCCCAGCGCGGATCCAAGAAATCCGCGCGGAGCACCAACAGTTTATGCTTATGTCGATTATCTTCTTCGAAGATCGGCAAGCGGGTACTTTCATAGTACCTCTTGCCGGAAGCACTCCGAAAACACCTTCGGCGCCAGCCCGAAGGTACAGTCCTTCGAGACATCTCTCCGGAGATCTGGAAAGACCTCGAAGAGGGGATCGACTACATAATCGGGTCAGCCCGAAATTGATCTACTGACCACCCCACGTATTCTTCCCATGGGTTCGACGAAAAATCAATTTGGAGGTCAATCAAATCTTGGGCGCCCGAGTTATCCGGGGTAACTCGGGTCCGGGGTCACTCGGGCTCGGATTCCCGCAAACCGAACCCGAGCTAGCCCTGACCCGAGTTACCCCGGATGACTCGGGGCTCTGAAAATCTGCACTCGACTCCCTACTCGAAGACCGCTCGGGCAAGGTGCCCATCCCGAGGCCGAGCCTGCATTTTGACGAGGCCTCCCGCTGCAGACATCCCACGAAACTCCTCCTCGTCAAAATCCGAGGCGCGGTCGTCAAAAAACGATGGCGAACCCGAGTCCTGGCAAACCCGGGTCTTACGCTCCCCCGACATTTGGAGGTCAATCAAATCTGCACCCGATTCACTACTCGAAGACCGCTCGGGCAAGGTGCCCATATCCCGCGGCGGGCTCCCCGGCGCCCCCCGGCGGCCCCCCGCCGCTGCCGCCGCGGCCGCCGGCGCGCGCCGCCTTCGCGAGCATGCCGTAGGCGCTCGTGGATCTGCGCTCCTGGGCCCGGGGCTGGGGGGCAACGCTGGGAGAGCGACTGGTGCTCCGCTCCGCTCTCGCCCCTTCCTATCCTCCAGCCCTCCAATCCTCTCCAATCCTCCCATCCTCCACTCCTCCAATCCTTCGATCCTCCAATCCTCCTCCTCCTCCTCCTCCACCTCCTCCTCCTCCTCCTTCCTCTTCCTACTCCCTCCAGTCCAGTCCTCCACTCCTCCTCCTCCTCCTCCTCCTCCTCCTCCTCCTCCTCCTCCTCCCTCCTCCTCTCCTCCTCCCCTCCTCCTCCTCCTCCTCCTCCTCCTCCTCGCCCCTCCTCCTCACCCTCCTCCTCCTCCTCGCCCTCTTCCTCCTCCTCCTCTCAAATGTTCCTCCTCTCCTCTAATCCTCCTCCTCCTCCTCCTCCTCCTCCTCCTCCTCCTCCTCCTCCTCCCCCTCCTCCTCAATTCCTTTTCCTTATAACTTTTCCCTGTCGCACCCCGAGGCCAGTTTTTAGGGCGGGCCGGGCGTTTCGCCTTAGACTTCCTCACCTTTGTTCTGACTCTGAAGCTCAAACACTGGCAACAGCTTCACAGATGGAGGGCGGGCCGTTTTCAAAATGTGACTCTCGCCTTAGCGCGGCGCACATTCGCTGTAAACATTCGCATAAGCGCTTCACGGATTGAGGGCGGGTGGTTTTCAACATGTGACTCTCGCCTTAGCGCGGCGCACATTCGCTTCAAACATATGCAAGAGCTTCACGGATTGAGGGCGGGTCGTTTTCAAAATGTGGCTCTCGCCTTAGCGCGGCGCACATTCGTTTTAACCATTTGCAAGAGCTTCACGGATTGAGTGCGGGCCGTTTTCAAAATGTGACTCTCGCCTCCGCGCGGCGCATATTTTTTTTGAAACTTTGTGGGAGTCGTTTTCCAAATGTGGCTCTCGCCTTAGCGCGGCGCATATTCGTTTGAAGTGTTTGGAAGGGCTTCATGGAGTCTCATCACCAACGTCCCAATAATGGCGTTCTGGCACGATCAAGGTTGTCAAGATGCAACAGTCAGGCTGATCCGTGACTTTGGAATCCCGAGAACAATGTTTCGACATGCTTCAGGGTATTCAAACGGTTGTCTTCCAAAGAGGCAGTTCCTCCAATGGAAATGAACCGTTCGGGCCTATGAAGAGGGACTTTGGAAGGATGGTTCATTCGAGCATCGTTGAGTACGCTTGGGTTTACACTGGTCCTCCTCCTCTTCCTCACCCTCCTCGTCCTCCATCCCCTCCTCTCCCTCCTCCTCCTCCTCCTCCTCCTCCTCCTCCTCCTCCTCCTCCTCCTCCTCCTCCTCCTCCCCCGCCTCCTCTGAGGGGCAACGTCCGGGGGGGACCCGCTCAAGTGAGCAAACATCGAAGTGGAATCGGCGATGCATCGCCGATAGGCCCCCGACAATGGATCCACACGTTCCTTGACGGGGTGGGCTATCAAGCCCCTATCCCCGAGATGCGACGTTCAGAAACACATGCAACACTGGGAGACACCACGACAAGAGCTCTGGACTCCATCTTTCTGCTGCGTGTTTTCGAGCCGGGTCAATCCGAAACATTACCCTGCGACGTACCCAACCCATGTGCATCAAGTGGCGAGAGGAGTAGGCCAACATTAGCAAGAACAACGACAGTGTAGACGCGGTGAATTGCTGCGCAAACTACATGGGATGTGCATGCGTTGCACGACTCACAGGACGACGATCGAAAAAACGAGGATTGAGGCCCCAGGCTCGAAGAATAACGGGGACAGGAACGCGGGGCAGGAGAAGGATGGAATGGAGGGTAATCTGAATCTGCGTATGACGTCACTCCGCTGGGCCCCCCAGCAGCCCTCGAAGGTGGCGACAGTTTCGCAGATCGCGCCCCCCCAGGGATGGCGAGGTCTAATCTGAATCTGCGTATGAAGTCACTCCGCTGGGCCCCCCAGCAGCCCTCGAAAGTGGTATCAGTTTCGCAGATCGCAGCCCCACCAGGGATGGCGAGGTCTAATCTGAATATGCGTAAGTATGACCCCACTCCGCTGGGCCCCCTAGCAGCCCTCGAAAGTGGCGACAGTTTCGTAGATCGCAGCCCCACAGGGATGGCGAGTTCTAATCTGAATCTGCGTATGACCCCACTCCGCTGCCCCCCCAGCAGCCCTCGACAGTGGTGACAGGTTCGCAGATCGCAGCCCACCAGGAATGGCGAGGTCTAGTCTGAATCTGCGTATGACCCCACTCCGCTGGGCCTCCCAGCAGCCCTCGAAAGTGGTGACAGTTTCGCAGATCGCAGCCCACCAGGGATGGCGAGGTCTAGTCTGAATATGCGTATGACCCCACTCCACTGCCCCCCCCCCCCAGCAGCCCTCGACAGTGGCCACAGTTTCGCAGATCGCAGCACCACAGGGATGGCGAGGTCTAATCTGAATCTGCGTATGACCCCACTCCGCTGCCCCCCCAGCAGCCCTCGACAGTGGTGACAGGTTCGCAGATCGCGCCCCCCCAGGGATGGCGAGGTCTAATCTGAATCTGCGTATGAAGTCACTCCGCTGGGCCCCCCAGCAGCACTCGAAAGTGGTATCAGTTTCGCAGATCGCAGCCCACCAGGGATGGCGAGGTCTAATCTGAATCTGCGTATGACCCCACTCCGCTGGGCCCCCCAGCAGCCCTCGAAAGTGGCGACAGTTTCGCAGATCGCAGCCCACCAGGGATGGCGAGGTCTAATCTGAATCTGCGTATGACCCCACTCCGCTGGGCCCCCCAGCAGCCCTCGAAAGTGGTGCCAGTTTCGCAGATCGCGCCCCCCCAGGGATGGCGAGGTCTAACCTGAATCTGCGTATGACCCCACTCCGCTAGGCCCCCCAGCAGCCCTCGAAAGTGGTGCCAGTTTCGCAGATCGCAGCCCCACAGGGATGGCGAGGTCTAATCTGAATCAGCGTATAACCCCATTCCGCTGGGCCCCCCAGCAGCCTTCGAAAGTGGTGAGTGACAGTTTCGCAGATCGCAGCCCCCCAGGGATGGCGAGGTCTAATCCGAATCTGCGTATGACGTCCCTCCGCTGGGCCCCCCAGCAGCCCTCGAAAGTGGTGACAGTTTCGTAGATCGCAGCCCCACCAGGGATGGCGAGGTCTAATCTGAATATGCGTATGACCCCACTCCGCTGGGCCCCCCAAGCAGCCCTCGAAAGTGGGGACAGTTTCATAGATCGCAGCCCCCCAGGGATGGCGAGGTCTAATCTGAATCTGCGTATTACACCACTCCGCTGGGCCCCCCAGCAGCCCTCGAAAGTGGCGACAGCTTCGCAGATCGCAGACCCCCAGGGATGGCGAGGTCTAATCTGAATCTGCGTATGACCCCACTCCGCTGGGCCCCCCAGCAGCCCTCGAAAGTGGTGACAGTTTCGCAGATCGCAGGCCCGCAGGGATGGTGAGGTAGGAGACAAACTGGCACGCAGGAGCGAGCGAGGTAGGAAGCAGGGGGGAAGAGGAAAGGAGGGGGCGGGAGAGGAGAGGAGAGGAGTCGCGACCGCAGCTGCTCTATTCAAAACCAAAACCCAACGTAGGAGGGTTGGGCAAAATCAAACGCCCAGATCTCAGGGATCGGCGATGAATGGGCGATCCCAGGCCCCCGACGTCATGATTTTTCCATGACGTCGTCCCCCCAGCGGTCTCGACCCACTCCCCATGACCAGTGTTTCATCCCGAGTCGTCGTTTGACGGTCCCGAGGCCCCACGAAAGCCCCCAGATGCCGAAAATAGCCAAAAACCTGACGTCGTGATTTTGTATGACTCGAAGGGGTCTGGGATTGGGGGTCGGTGAATCCCTCCCTGAGCCTACCCCCCCGATTGAGCAGGGACCGACCGTCCCGGCATTCTTATAGGCCTACCGGCCTACCACGATTTATTTTGAGAACCCCCAAAACGGCTGAATAACAAAAACAAGCTTCTTAGAACCTGCACCCGATGCATCAAAACAAAACGGTATCAGCCAGAAATGATCTAAGAACAGTTCGTGCAAACCACGTAATGTTATTAGAACATGATTTGGTGGGCCTGTGGGCGAGCCAGGACGCTTCGCCACTGCTTGACCCTAGCGTTGTGCCCTGGAATGACGAACCAACAACACACACCCATACCCATAGGGGGATCGGAGAGGGCTATGGGTGCGTGTTGTCGGATGGGGGTCCCCGCTCGAAAAGGAGCGTTCCCCAGGGTCCGACAACCCGCACCCATACCCATAGCCAGTCCTTCTCCCTCCGACCTCCCTATGGGTATGGGTGTGTGTTGTTCGTTCGTCATGGAACGCGAGGCGGCCACCCCGGCCTGTGCGCGCCCCAGGGGGCGGAGCAGCGGGACGATGCCCCGTGCGCGGAAGCAGCGCCGACCCTGGCCCGGCCTGGGCTCTCGGACCTCGGGCGATCTGCAGTGGCAAAACTCGCGGGCGCCTCCAGTGTCGTTCAGGAGGCGGCTCGGAGTTCGAGGTGTTCGGCAATTTTCGTGGGTTCTCGGTGGTTTTCCAGCCTCAGGATGCTTGCCAGCAGCTGCGCCTCGCCGACGGCGTTCCGGGGGTGCCTGGATCGTCCCGAACGGCCGCACCCGAGTTACGACCCCAAAACCCAAGTCGGCGGCGCGCCGAGGGGGGGAATGAGAAAGAGAAGGCCTTCTTAGAAGGCGGCGGGACTACCCCTTCTCACTTCTGCCCCCGGGCTCGCCGCCGAGTCATCTTGCTGGCTCCTCTGGGTCGACACATGCCGAGCCTCGCCGACGCTAATCGACGCCACATCGACGCCAGCAAATCCGCCGACCCCTGTGGGTCTCCAGGCGTGTGAGATTGTTCCCCCCCCAGAATCCCCCCCCGCGGACCCCAAACCGGGATTTTGACCCCCTCCCCCTGGCCGAGGGTGGCCCCGGACCGAAGTCACCCGCGGCGGTCTGGGCTCCCTGGGCTCGCTCTTGAACTGCACGACTGCACTTGACGCCTCCCAAGAAGCCGCCCAGACGGTCCACGAGAACCCCAAGTCGCCGAAAGATCGCTCCTAGACGCCCAAGATGAGCTCAAAAAACGGCCCAAGAAGCTGCACGAAGCGTCCAAGAGGCCTCCCAAAAAGCCCCCAAGAAAACCAAAATCTTGAACTTCCCTTTGGAAAACGTACATTTTCAGCATATCCAACTTGTTAGCCTTCACGGCGTTGAAAACCGTCCACGAGGCACCCACGAGGCCCCAGGACCACCCCAAGACGGCCCAAGAGGCCCCCAGGAGGCCCCAAAGACAACCCAAAAGAAATTCAACGTGGCCCAAGAGGCGCCCTAGACGGCCCAAGAGAGTTCCAAGACGGCCCCAAGAAGGGCGCAAGACAGGGACCACGAACCGCGAATTCCAGCGCTCCGCCCAACGAAGCTCTCCTGAGGACCCAAGAGGCCCCCAAGCGGCCCCAAGAGGCCCCACGAGGCACCCGAGAGGCCCCAAGGAGCCCCAAAGAGGCCCAACAAAAAGCCCCACAACGGCCCCCAAGACCCTTCGAAACTGCCTCGAAGAGGCCCGCGAGGGAGCGGGAAGCCGTCTCGGAGCCCACCGGGGGCCGCCAGGGAACGGATCGGGACGAAGCGTGGGTCCCGGAGAATACGATAACAACAACGAGGCAACAGGAACGATGTCGAGCGCCGTGTCATGATTCGGACAAGCGTCGTGGAATGCAGTCCTGGAGGCGCAGTAGTGTATAGAGGGGTCGGCGGATGTGGCGTAGGCCTCTAAAATCTGCTCCCTCCCGTCGTTCACCAAACGCTGGCGCACGCGACGGCACGCGAGAGACGGAATTTCGAGGACATGCAGTGGAAATCTACAGAAAGGACGGGTTGTCAGGACGCAAAGACCTTGGACGCCGAGATCGGCACGTTTTAGGCGGCGGTTGGCCAGCGAGAACCGCGAGGGACGGGCCGCGGAGGCAAGGACGCAAGGGTGCCTGCCTTAAGGACACCCATACGTCCCTCCTATGAACTTTGACTGTGCAAGGCGCCATGAGTTGCTACCGTTATGTCGGGAATGTCCCCCTACAGGCGGATTTTGAGCGAACGTTCAAAAATAGCAGGAACATATTGTTAAACTTTCTTGAAACTATGTCCGAGGCTATGTTTTGACTATTTTTAAATATTCCTCCTGTAGAGGGACAGGCCCGCCTTAGCCCTACGATGAACTTTGACTGTGCAAAGCTCCCATGGGTTGCTACCGAAGACGCTTTGCTTTTGCTCCCCCCGGGCGCTTCTTCACATCCGTCGGCCCTCGGGGGCCGCTTCGGCTTCCCCCGGGGGCGGCCAAGAGGGGGGCGTCCAAGAGGTGGGGACGCAAATCATGGCCGGCGGCATGTGCGCGGCCCAGCGTGGAGGCCGAAGACACACTGACAAAGGGCGAGGCGGCATGACATCTGGGGAGATGTCATGGCCCCCGCCATGCTATCCCACCCCCGCTGGTCATCATACCCATCTTGGCCGCCCCCGCCCCCCCCCCCCGGACCACCAGACATGGATCTGGGGCGAGAAACTGCCCCCCGGGGCAGCGGTCGGGGCCTCTGGGGCCGCGGATGGCAGCAATCACATGAGCGGATCTCCGGGATCCTGGGTCGCCTAGCTTCGGGTGTCGCGCCCAGCGGTGCCCGGTCATGGTCGCGCCCTTGCGCCGCCGCCCTGGAGAAGGGCGCCTCTGCAGCCCAGGCCGCGACACGCGAAGCGCGATCATCTTCGCGCCCCTGACCTGTCAGGGATCGATCGAAAACTGCGTTTTGCGTGCTCGTGTCGGTTTCGTCTTGACTGTTTTTGAAACGAAAGCGGCCCGCCCGATTGCCCCAGAGCAGCGCTCTAGCATCCATCCGAACGCGTGTTTTGCCAATGGTGAGCTGCGGAATGAAAACAGCACGACCACGAAGAGGAAACGAAACCGATCGGCGAGATTACCAAAACAACGCTTTGGTCGAACCCTGCGTCACACCAGCACCAATCCTGACCAGGTCCAGGAATTGTGTGTGCAGGAGAGCCCAGAATCCAATCGATAAGTCGGATCGGCGATCGAAACGAATCGGATCGGCAGAAATCGGCAGCCGAGTCGAGAAAAGTCGAATCGACGGAAATCGGCAGGACTGCATGCCTCCAGTAAGAAATCCGCCGACCCTGTCGGCGTGTGTGAGGGCCTTCTCCGTTCGAATCGTCGTCTCCGTCGTCTCCTCGTCGTCTGGGTCGTCGTCACAGTCGTCTCCTCGCCGTCTCCGTCGTCCCCCGTCCCTTTCCCTGGGCCCTCCTCCTCAAGCGCGCCATCCAAAGCGAAATTGAACAACGTCGCAGTGGAGTCGAAGGGAAGCCCCTTCCCTTTGATCCCTTCTCCGCGGGGGAGGGGGGGGTTCCGGGGGGGTCCCGGGGGGGGTCGCCACCCAGATTCGTTTCCCCCTCGGGTGGCCCCGAAACCTGGAAAAGTCCCAAAAAGAAGGAGCCCAGAATGCTCAGGACGGCCCCCAAAATGGCCCAAGAGGGCCCCGAGTCGCCCAAAGATCGGACCAAGACGCCCAAGATGGCCCCAAGACGATCCAATCAGCTTCCAAGACGTCCCAGGAAGTCTCCAAGAGCACAACCCAAGAAGGCCCCAAGAAGCTACAATCATTGATGTTCCATAAGAAAACGTAAACTTTTAGCATATACGAGCTTTCGGCCTTCACGGCGTTGAAGACGGTCCAAGATGCCCCGAAGAAAGCCTCAAGACGGCTCAAGATGCTCCCAAGAGGCGCCCAACACGGCCCAAGAGGGCCCCAAGAAGGGGCAAGACGGGGAGCCCGAACCAAAAATCCGAGCCTTCCGCCCCAAAAAGCTCCCAGGAGGCCCCAAGAGGCCCCCATAAGGCCCCAGGAGACTCCCACGAGGCCCCCAAGAGGCCCAAAAGAGGCTCCAAGAGGCGCCCAAACGGTCCCCTCCTCCTCCTCCTCCTCCTCCTCCTCCTCCTCCTCCTCCTCCTGTCCTCCTCCTCCTCCTCCTGTCCTCCTCTCCTCCTCCTCCCCTCCTCCTCCTCCTCCTCTCCTCCTCCTCCTCCTCCTCCTCCTCCTCCTCCTCCTCCTCCTCCTCCTCCTCCTCTTGCTCCCACTCCTCTTGCTCCTCCTCTGCCTCCTCCTCCTCCTCCTGCTCCTTCTCCCCCTCGTTATCAGATTCGTCGTCTTCAGGGTCGGCGGCACCGGCCGTAAGGCCTTCGCAGTCGGAACCCAAATCGGAATCCCAAGTCGAAGCGAATCGGAGTTGGAAGCCATCGAAATCGAATCAAATCGAATCGGAGGAATCGAAATGAGCCCTGTGTGTCTGCGTGTGCGCCCTCGTGGCCGGGCCAGGGCAGGACGCCGATCCTGGGCCCGAGATCGGCCTGGCCAAGACTGGTGCTGGTGTGTGGCTGACGTCATCCGAGGGGGGCGACACCTCGCGCGCTAGGCTTGCGTCGCATGAACCTCTGAAGGTCCCCGAGGCCCCCCACAAATAAGCAAATGATGATTTTCTCCGGGGGCAAATTGAGAGTTGCTGGCGCCCAACAAGACTCGGCAAGTAATCATTCTGGCGGCGACGCCGGCGACGGCGATGACGACGACGACGACGACGACGGCGAAGACGACGATGTCGACGACTACTACAACTACTACTACTACCAGTGCTACGACGCCTCCTGCTACGGCTCTTACGACGAGCGTTAATACGACTACGAAGAACGGCTCGACGGGAAGGGTACGGACTGGTACTACAAAACTTGTAAGAACAGGCACGGAATGTCACTCTCATGTCGGGTAGCACAGGGGGTGAAATCCGCCACGAGAAATAACCGCCCAACAAAAAACAACATGGCGAACAATACTGGGCAAATGATTCGGCCGCCGACCCCCGCACCTGATTGCCACGCCAGAGCTTGGGGGGGTCTCTGTGGAACATTGAAGACCTCCTGCGCTGAGTATGTCGAAGTGAAATGCAGCAGACACAACTCGACCGAGATAGCATTGGAACGGGTCAATCTTGCAACGTGCGGGCCACCGAATGATAACAAGCTCGAAAACTACAAAAGACATGATACGAACACAGTATGGCACGAGCCGTCAACAACTACCCCTACACCACTCTGACTGTCCACCTTATGCTGTTGAAGTGGACGAAGGCACAATCGGTGGCGCGAGGGAGATACAATCGATAGCGCGAGAAATTTACAATGCAAGCTGCCTGTGACAACGTGAGCAAATCCTTGCCTGCCTTGTTCTCCCACCTGGCATGCTGGGCTGTCCACCAATTCGATATCTTCTGCACGCGAGCCATGCCCAATGCACCGGTAAGCACAGACGGGAACGAAGCATACAGATGCATAAACATTGTCAACGCAATAACCTGCCAGCATGGGCAAAGAAACTCTGCGCAATGTGCACCAATCATGTCACATCGCACGCTGGCAAATATCACATCTCCATCAAAATAAATGACGGAAGCTGGGGAGAGTGAACCGTGTGGTGCCCCAACGGGGAAATCGTTTCGTTTCGTGCGTGGCGAGCGTGTGCGCGAGGCAAAAGTGCGCAAGGTAGTCCACTGGTTAGGGAAACGTCGAATATAAAAGGGGCGCCCCGACCCCGGCCGCTGCGTGACAACTGTCCCAATGGTCGTCCCGATGGTTCAGCCAGGCTACGCTCGCAAACAAAATCTGCGATGCTACAGTCGCGTAACATGTATTCTGCGAGGCCGCACTACCAACAAAAGTCTTCCAAGCCAACATCACAAAACATGCGCCCTGTGAGGCAATCGTTGCAAGAAAATGCGCTCAGCGAGGCCATGCGACAGACGCAAATATACCATGCCCTGCAAGCCATCACGAACAAAGAAATGCGCCCTTGCAGAACAATGCATGCAAAACATGTGCTCTGCAGGGCAACACAACATTGAAAGTATGCGAACTGCGAGGCAACGAACAATAAAGCAGCAATGAACGCAAGTGCACCAGCAACAAGCTGTATGACACAACAATAAATACAAACTGAAACAACACACATCTGTGATACACCACTGGGAACCATGTAGCCGATCCAAACATCCACACACATCTATGTGTATATGTATACATATATACATATATATATACATATATAGATATAGATATAGATATTTACAAATATAGTAAAACAAATGAAAACTAGGCGCTAGACAGGTCGATCGATATAGACAAATGGACGCATTCACAAAACTATGTTGAGGTTCTGATTTACGTCCACTCGTCAGTTGAATCGCGTTTCCAAGGCGCATCGCAGATGATGCCATTCCCCCCCAAACCTCCTCATTACCCGAAGGGTTGTCATATCGGAAAAATGGTCCGTCGACGATACCTTCCATTGGAAACTACACATGTATATACACGTGTTGAGACACGTGGTGTTCACAACTGAACTGCACGATGCAAAACTCATGTTTGTGACCTATGTGAACTGCTGTCTGTGACTCCCATGAAGAACTGTAGAGCAGGCTTGGTTACTTCGACATCGCAACGCAAAGGATCGGCCGGCAAACAACTATTGTGGGGAGCACACGGACTGTTGCTGGATCGTGTTGCTGCAAGGACCTGTGGGCAAGAGGCATGCATGAATCCCTCTGGCGGCGATGCAATAGTCGCCTTCTCCATTGCGAAGATGGGACGCGCCCCATCAGCTGCTCCAGAGAGTCCTCATCATCCTGAACCAGCGATGGACATCGACGTGAGAGAAAACGATATTGGCTGAATTAAAAAATCCGCAATGATTCGGCAAACGACTGCAATGACAAGCTCGTGCCAAGGCGGTCCCGACAACGCGCAGATCGCTCAGCCTTGAACGAATCGCCACTTGCCGACAGCGCAGTTCGCTGAATTCTGGTTGAGCTAAGTAGAAGGCAGACTGGCCACCCTCATTCTAAGCAGCCCGAGTTACAAATGGAGCGTTTTTCGCAAACGCGCCCAAGATAGGATTAATGTCACAAGGGAGGACCATTCAGTAAACGCCCAACACTGTTCAGCAGGCGCCACTGATGTTGGCCATGGTGTTTTCGCTCCTTGCTTAGCGCATGGCGCTGGCGGCGTTCAACCCTGAACGCTCGAGTTGGTGGGTATGACGCCGTTGGACTACCATGTGGGACCTACTATAGAACAAGAAAGTACCGTAGACGGATATACCCTTTCTCCGACCTGGCACCGCGCCGGAAGCAACGGCCACGTTGTCCATAGACGTACCCACCCCGAAAGTGTCTGTGGATGTCAAGGCACCCAATGCGTCCGTATAGTAGAAGACAAAACGCCATAAACATAAACTGTTGGCGCTCCGCGCGGATTTCTTGAATCTGCGCTGGACCCCCTCCCTGGCGGGCGGGACGCGACAGGGGCGGCGCCAGAGGCGCCGCCGGGATGGCCCAGCGCAGATCTAAGAAACCCGCGTGGGGCGTCAACAGTTTATGTGTATAGCGTTTTTCTTTTTCGATATACGCTCTTGGCTAGGACGTGAGAAAGGTATTTGGCATCGGCCCCAGACGTTTGCTTTCTAGAAGCAGGCAGGCTTGGCTCTCCAACGCCTCCGCGTCAGCGCGGCGCGAACCTGTCTAATACAAGACTTGAGGCGGCTGCGGCCCAAGCAAATGCCGACCCACCACCAACGGCGACCGCGAGCCTGAAGAGAACGGGCGGCGCGCTGCCCAGTCATTCGCCAAACATATCCATACGAAAGCAACATACAAGGCATTATTGGCACACCCGCCTCAGGCTCGCCTGACAACGGACAACCGCGCCAGGGTCGCCGAGAAGCACTTGACCGCGCAACTTCCTTTGGTTCCCTTTCTGGTCTACGACTGAAAATGCCCACTCTTTCGGGCACCCCTGGTCCAGTCCGTCTCCAGCGTTTCGACGTGTGGTTGGCTATCCTCTTCAGGACCTGCCACAACCACCCACACGGGGCAGGCCGACGCTGTCACGAACGAACCCTATGTTTCCGACTGTGCGAAAACACCACGCGTACCTTTCGAATGTCAAGATACAATATGTCTGGCTGTATTCTGGGACTCCTTCGTACACACCAAAATTGCCAGAAGATGTCAAGCCACGCTCTGAGAACCTGCTGTGTTGGCCTTAACAAAAATGGAAAATGCAACTCCCCCCTCTTTCGTGACACCGCCGGCAACCGCAGGTAAGACGGGCGACTGCCCCCTTTTTCCATGAACGGACTCTAACCACGGCCCAGGGGTGTGAGCCACCCGACCCCCGCGTTATGCGCTCGTGGATAATCAGAGCGCACCTGCGAAGCCCCCTTTTTGGTAAAGCCACCATTGCTACCTCTCTGACTGTTGGGAAAAAGGCCGCACCGCCGAAGACGAGTTCCTGGAGAGACTTTCGGCTGATAACCACTCACTCGCCACGCATATCCACACTCGTGCAACATACAAGGCATAATTGGTACACCCGCCTCAGGCTCGCCTGACAACGGACAATCGCGCCAGGGTCGCCGAGAAGCAGTTGACTGCGCAACTTCCTTTGGTTCTTTCTGGTCTACGACTGAATATGCCCACTCTTTCGGGCACCCCTGGTCCAGTCCGTCTCCAGCGTTTCGGCGTGTGGTTGGCTATCCTCTTCAGGACCTGCCACAACCATCCACACGGGGCAGGCCGACGCTGTCACGAACGAGCCCTCTGTTTCCGACTGTGCGAAAACACCACGCGTACCTTTCGAATGCAAAGATAAACTGTGTCTGGCTGTATTCTGGGACTCCTTCGTACACACCATAATTGCCAGAAGATGTCAAGCCAGGCTCTGAGAACCTGCTGTTTTGGCCTTCAAAGAAGAGAGGAAACAACTTGCCCCCCTGCTCTCAAGGCAACCCCTTCCACGGAAAAGCACCGGGCGGGAAACACAGGAAGGAGGAGAAGAAACAATGCCGTAAACATTCACTTTTGGCGTTCCGCACGTATTTATTGGATTTGCGCTGGACCCCCCTGCCTGGCGCGCGGAGCGCGACCGGGCGGAGGCGGCGCCGCCAGGGTGGCCCAGCGCAGATCCGAGGATTCCGCGCGAGCGCCAACAAGTTTATGTTTATGGCGCTGTTTCCTGTTTGGGGACAAATCAACATCGAGTGTACGTCGGATCGGGCTGCATCGGAACGGATCCGAACTCGAAGTGGGTCGGCCGCGCCACTATACTATGCATACAGTCGAGGCCAGTCCACAAGAAACCTTCCACAAGAAACCCATCCCTCAGACCCCAGGACGTCCATCGATTTCTTGTGTGGGAACGTTGCGCCTTCCACAGCAGAAACCTCGAAACCCAAGAAACCCAGGGCACCCTGGAGGCAAGCAGGGTGCTTCTTGGCATGGGTCTCCACTGCAACTACCAACGCCAATGCGTAACGCCAAAGTGAAAATCGGGCCGAATCACCTCGTTGCAGTATACCGGAACCGAAGCGGATCGGGCAGGCCAGAATCGAGATCGAATCGGATCGATCGGATCGAACGTCAGGGGCGGCCAAGAGGGGGGCGTCCAAGAGGGGGGGCGCAAATCATGGCTGGCGGCACGTGCGCGGCCCCAGGGGGAGGCCGGGGACGTAATGAAATAAGAAGGAGCGCCATGAAATCATGGCCCAAGCCATGTTATCCCCCCCCTAGTCATCACCCACCTCTTGGCCACCCCCGAAAAAGGGACTCTGCGAGGGGGGAAGACGTGTGAGCATCGACGTGAGCGGCGCTGCCCCTTCTGATGGCGACGTTCTAGCAAACCCGATTAAGGGGCCAGACTAATCCAGATCAAGCCCCCAGCATTCAGCCGGATGAAGCGGAATAAATCGGAAGTGTGCCGGATCATTCCTGTTTTCGACAACGGATATGCCAGCGCCGATGCCGAATTCGACATCCCTGAAGCTGCATCGTAAGAGGGGGAAGATTCAGATTCAAAAACCTGTGAAGACCAGGTCAAGCCTGGCCACTGCCAAAATCAAGGCAGGAATCAGGCGCGTCGCCCCTGGTCCCGCGCGAGCCACCAGCAAGACCTCTGAGCTCGTCGAACTGGAGGAAAGATGCCCCAGCGAATTTCCAGGAGGGGGAGGATTGGCAGCGCGCAGAGGGGGGTCGGCGGAGGGGGGAAGTCTTAGAAGCAGTCTGCTTCTTAGAAGGCGCCGGCCTTGCATCTACAGATAATGCCTGCGCTTTCTAGAAAGGAGGGCAGCTTCTAAGAAGACTTTCCCCCTCCCCCATACCTCCCTCTGCGCGTGGCTGAGAGGATAGAAGCTTCCTATATGAGGTCCGAGTAGACAGGGTCAAAGAATTGCGCCGCATTGTCAATGCATCGCCGATGTATCGGCGATGCATGAGCGATGCACCGGCGACGTCGAGGAGGATGATGATGAGGATGACGAGAATGACGAGGATGAGGAAGATGATGAGGATGAGGAGGTGGAGGATAAGGAGGATGAGGAGGATGACGAGGACGAGAGGGACGAGGAGGACGAAGATGACGACGAAGATGAGGATGATGAGGAGGAGGAAGATGATGAAGAGGGTGAGGAAGACGATGAGGACGAGGCGATCGAGGAGGACGAGGATGACGAGGATGAGGAGGATAAGGAAGATGAGGAGGAGGACAAGGAGGACGAGGATGAGGATAATGAAAAGGACGAGGAAATGGAGGACGAAGAGAATGAGGAGGATGAGGAGGATGATGATGATGGCGAGAGGGACGAGGAGGACGAGGTGCACGAGGATAAGACTCTGCCTGGCGCCGCCGCGCGTCAGCACCGGCGGGCACAACAGATTGAGGGCTACATATCAGCCACCCTCGAAGCTCCAGAGCGCACCCTCGCCCACCACCAGCAGGATCTCGGCTAGGGCGCGGAGCAAAAAGTTGTTATGAAATTATGGAAGGCCGCCTCACACTGTGAGGATTCGAAAGCAGGCCGCCTGAGGTCTACTGCGGCTCCACAGGGAGCGGCAGCCAGTGAACTCCGGATGGGATCCTGGGACACCAGCGGCCTGGCGGCCGAAAAGGTCCTGGACCCCTCTCTTCCTTCAGCAGCTGGGTGCCTCCCAGCCAAAAACAATCTGCGATTGCGGGCAGCACGTTCTGAGAGGCCGCCTTCGTCGGCCTCACAGTTCACTAGCAGGTGCCATGCCGTCCTGTTGAGAAAAATCCGCACGACACGCAAAGGACACTGTGTCCTGATGCCACCCAAAATCTGTGTCCCCTGGCGGCAGCAGCTGGAACAGTGCCCCGTCGGGGCACCATGGCCGCAAGGACAATAAAATCAGCTTCCTTGGGCTGTCGTTTCGCCCCAAGCCCGTGCGCTGCCCTTTGCGATCTGGGACAAAAGCGAACCCCTCACGCATCGGAATGTCAAGGTCAACCGTACCCGACCCGTCACGGCCCATCACAGACACTTCCGAGGGAAGGCAAACTCTCTTCACAGCCGCGGCAACAGATCTAGCATCCACCGAAGAGGTGGATACAGCAGGGTTAAAGTCAACGGGTCGTCTGGTGCTCCTGGTCTCGGGACTCTTCTCGAGCTCTTGAGCTGTTAGGCGAGGCATGTGGGCGCTGGTGAGACAACTCGATAGCTTCAATGTCAAACTCAGGCTCTTGTCTTCGTTCCTCCTGGATTTCTCCGGATTGGTTCCTAGGAGCCTGCCCTGAGGACACGAAAGGGCCCTGAATGGAGTGAGCATGACCTCCCCCCTCGGTAGCTAACGAGGCAGAAAGCGCCTGGAACGCTCAGGCTGAGGCGTCGGGTCGGAAACAGTCAGCAGCTTGGTGGAGGAGCGAAGGCAGCTCTGACTCTCGCCTCACACGCTTCAATCGCCAGGCGCCTCCGTGTTTTGAAGGTCCTAACTCCTATTTTACAAAAACTGCATCGGACAAAACTTTCCCCCCCGGGAAGATGGTGGCGTATGTGTTGAGGCGGAGGCGACTCGGTCTTTCTCGACTTCTTGCGGACGGGTCTTGCCTTCTCTCGCCTACGTCCTTCTATCCTGCCAGCGGAGAGATGATGCAAATGCGCTTCAACAAGCCCATGCAACGCTATTCTAATCGCTTTCAGAGCGAGGCGCATGGCTTTCTGTTGCTGCGTGGTCGCAGCATGCAGATCCCTCCCTGCACGAACCGCCAGTTGGACCCACGGGTTAGCTCTGGCAGCCTGGGAGTTTCCTACTTGATGCCCTCTCAGGTGCGAGACTCTCAGGGCCTCTCCCAGGCGCCCATGAACCTCGATGTTGTGCCAAATTGACGCCCAAAGATCAGCATCAGGTCTTCTAGGCCCACAAGTGTAGGCGGGACCCCAGGACAAACCGTCCACAATACCCATATAATCAATATGCACGTGCACTGGGGTGATACAAACTTCTAGAACCTTACGGAAAGTGTAAAGTTCAGCCCTGAGGGGGCTCTCAATGGGTCCTGGAAGTGCTCCGTATATCATAGGCTCCATATGGCTGGTGTACTTGACGAACCCCCACCCCGATCTCGATGATTCTGGCCAGAACCATGCCTTTTTGCACGCGCCGTCAATGTAGATGTCGCCCGTGACGCAATCTAAGCTTCCGCATTCCACATGCCAACGGTCGCTGTTGTTCAGCGCCCCTCAAACGGGGACTCCACTAACGGGTACTTTGGCCAGTGACCCAGCGAACCCAACCCCTCCCGATGTGGGCAACGCTGCAATGCCAGAAAAAGGCCAGAAAATGACAACTTTCGGCGAAATTTCAAAGTACCCGTTAGTAAATACCCGTTACGGTGCCGTTGAATCGTGACGTCCAGGTAGCGGCCGGAAGCACGAACGCGGGGCCAAGCCTCTCGTCCAAAACCACGAGCCATGGGAACGGGACGGGTAGCCTCGCATGGATGTACATCCTAGTCTGGCTTGCCTCTGCTGTTCGCGCCCTGGACACTCCCAGACACTGTGGTATGGTGTGCATTACTCGTCAGGACAAGGCGGACAACCTGATGTGTGTGCGTACCCATGTCGATAGTGCCTGCTACATGCCCAAAAGCCACTAACAACAGAATACGGAACATAACACTTTCTTGATACGTGGGGGTCCATTTGGAGGCCAGCTCTGGGGGGTACTCAGGATCATTCTCACTTTCGTCGGGATCATGAGCGGTACCACTGAGCAAACCCATGATCGGTTCCAACCAGTATCCAATGGGTTCCTTCGGGTCCATCCCGTCGTCGGCGGGATTGCTCCTTTTTGCCCAAGAGCACCACATCCTACGAACAACAACAGCTCTTGCCAAATCGCGAACATTTCTGGGAACCGCACGACGAACATCAACCTTGTCACCTAGGTCCGTGACGATGGTAAACGCTGAAACAAACAGACATCCGAGGTCGCGCAATGCAAGCATCATAGCACCTGTCGTGCCTGCGACTTGGTCCCAAGGCTTGGCCGCCCGTAGGACTCGAAATACTTGCCTGTGCCAAGCCGTTTGCAACACGTCATGAACCATGTGTTTATCCTGGACCAAGGGCGCCCAGGCTCCCCTCATGACGCTTCGCATTTGTTGGGCAAGTTGCGGGGGTACTCCATGAACCCCAACTCCATACTGCATAGCTGACGGCAAGGCATGTCGAGAGAACCGCGCCACCACAGCTCCTGTTTTCGTTATAACCGAAGTCGGGGCATCCTTGTCCGAGTCCTAGCGATCCTCGGTCGAGAGCGAACAAGTTTAATACGTCTACCAGCGGCCACATCGATACCCAGGACTTCCAGAACCGATGCGTAACGATACCCCATGTGCCCGACTCGACGAACGAGTTACTTGCCGAACGGCGTAGACGAACACGCAACAATCAGATTGTGCTTAGCTGGTGCTAAGTCCATGCTATGCAACGTGCCGACGAGCTTCGACCAAAAATCAATCGATACATTGACAATCTCCTTAAGCCGACCCATGATGGCGATGGTGATGTCATCAGCATCTGGATCAACTGTGCGTGTGTTGTGCTCTATGCGGTCGTACATGAGGTCAAACGGTCTTATCATCACGCACGGCAAGCAGAACGTGGCTAGTGAGCACCCAGGCAGAACGCTTCTGGTGGCCCAAATCTCACCTGAAAACGAATAATCCCATGCAATCCTGCGGGTATACACACGCAAGGCTAGCACCACCAGGCGGCCTGGAAATTTGAGCTGTGCTGCTGCTGCTAGCAGGAGGCGCCAAACAAATGCGATCGAAACATTTCTCGACGTCAACTATGGCCTGGATAATGGTGTGACCCTCCGACCCTGCTTCCGCTGCTTCTGCCTGAACCAGCAGCCGCGCAACAACATCCGTGGTCGATGTTTGGGCTCCCAGGGCAAGATACGGCCTCTCAAGACGACTGGCACAACTCCTCACCCAATCAAGCCTGGCTTTCCCCCACAATCGGTACACGGAGTTAAATCGGGCGATTGGCCGATAACCTCCCGCGGGTTTGGCAACTAAAATAATGTAGACTCCCCGAAACAGATCTGGCCATACCCCCCAGGTTTCGCATCGGTGTAGTATGAAGCCGAGGAGGGAGAGCGCGCCATTCAAGACGATGGCCCAGCGTCGTGGCCGAAACCTATCAGCCGCGACTGCCTTGCTGGATGGGACGAGGTGGACGAGGAGGATGAAGAGGACGAGGAGGACGAGGAGGATGAGGATGAGGAAGATGAGGAAGAGGAGGACACGGATGATCCGCCCCAAAAGAAGCCCGACAGACGCCCCAGGATGCCCCAAAACTGCCCCCGAGAGGCTTTACACCTGCCTCCCTCCAAGAGGCCCCCGAGAGGCTTCCCACGAAATTCCAACGACGACCAACTAGGCTTAGAATTCGTAGCCCAAGCACGGTGGCGGGACTTGCCGTAGGTGACTGGATTGCTCATCCTTGCTCTGCGTTTTGACTGTAGAGATGAGGAATCGCGAGCCGCTAACAGCTTCGCGCCCTCGTTCAATAGCGGCCTCCAAGATGGGGTCCGAGCAAATGGGGTCGGAGGATCGCGCCGCTTTGCCGATGCATCGGCGACGTCTGCGTGGAGAAAATTGGGCTCCACATAACGCCGCATCGCCGATGCAGTGGCGATGCGGCGCGATCCTCCGACCCCATCGACTTCGACCGCGCTAAATGAACACTGGGGTCATCAGGGTGCCGATTCTCATCCCGAAATCCTTCGCGCCAGGTATGTGCACAGAGTGCAGCATCGCGAAAAATGACGACCACGGCCTCGGACCACATCTCTCTGCTGCACGTGTCGAGCCCCTCCGATCTGTGATGGCCACGGGGCGCGAAGCCGGGCGAGCGCGGCCCGTGCGAAAAAACTGCTGGGGAAAGGAGTAGGTACCGGTACCGCGACTCCCTGGACCTCTCCCGGGGTGCGTTGTGACCAGAGCTTCGAGGCGAATCCAGCGGTGGCGACGAGGGCCTCCCAAGAGGCCCAAAAAGGAGAACACGGCCGAAGGGTAGAGGTATGGGTACCTTTTCCTCCTCTGAACTGCATCGCTCAGATCTGCAGGTTTGTGCTCCGGGTCGAGCTCGCGTGCCGCACGGAGCAAGACGGACGCACCGACACCAGCAGCGCCCCGCTCGGAGGCAGCAGCTCCCGGTCCTGGACGACCGCACGGAAGGCCTGCCTCCGGAAGGCGTCCTCCTGCGCAAACCCACCCCAGTCCCGTCTCATCAAAACGAGGCGGACTCCGCAGATCCGCTCTTCTCTCGGCGGTGGACAAACCTCCCTGTAGTAAACCTCCTTTTAGTGAAGACGGCTCGGGACCGAAACCGACGGACCTGGACCCGCAAAAATGACGGCCGCGACGCCTTCTCGCGAACCGAAAACGGCAAACTCGCTAATCGACGTGTCAGGGTAGGAGGTCTGTCCACCCCCGATTCTCTTCCTCGTCCGACAACACTCGACAGGAGGGTTCCACAGGGGGGGTTTGGGGGAGGGGGTCTTCCAGAGAGCCCCCCCAGGGGCCTGGGAACCTCGTCAGAACCTCGGAGGAGCCCCTGGGGGACCCCTCCTGGAAAGCCCCCTCCCCCAAAACCCCCTTTGGAACCCTCCAGCTCGAGGGTGAACGTCCGGGGGGCACCGGCTCAAGGGGGAAACGTCGCCTTGGAATCGGCGGTACATCGCCGATGGATCAGAGACATGCTGCCGATAGCGAGTCCGTACGGTCCTGGGTGGAGCGGGCCATCAGGACCCGGGTGATTCATGGGCAACTGGGGGTCGATGCGCCCCCTCCTGAGCGTATTCCCCCCCTGGCGTTCAACCTGACCACCCCTACGTTTTGACGCGCCGTCGACCCACTCCGTATCGACACGTGATGCCGGGGCTCGTCCGATCGTGCGCAGCACGTGCCCGTGCATATGCCCACGCAGCTTCAGCTGAAACCTTCGCTATGTGCTGAATCATGCCCATGAGCAGCGATACCTGCTCGGTTGCCAAGCGTATGTGCACACCATTAAAATACATGCGTCATTACATGTGCACGTCCATAAATACGTAAACACGACACACACACAACACACAACACTCACACATGCCACGCACATACGCACAACACGCACAACACACAACACACACGCAACACACACGCAACAAACAACATAAACCCCTCACAACGCACAACACATACATACAGACACACACACGCACAAACACACACGCACACGCAAACCCACACGCACACACACATACACACACACACACACACGCACGCACATACACAGACACACACGCACATATACACACACACGCGCACACACACACACACATCACGCACGCACGCACGCGCCCCCCCCGGGGCACCCCCTTCCCCTCCCCCCCCCCACACACGCACACACACACACACACACACACACACACACACACACACACACACACGCACGCACGCACGCACGCACGCACGCACACACACACACACACGCACACACACAGGCATGCACACACACACACACACGCACGCACACGCACTCACACTCACACACACACAGACACACACACACACACACACACACACACGTACATACCTTTTGGACGTCGCGGCCACGCCGGCGGCGGCGCGGTCCTGTGAAGATCGAGCAGAGAAAGGCGCGCGGGTCGGGCCAGCTCACGCGCACACGCAAACACATAACTATACTCACATTGTGCTGACGCGCGCGTGCAACGCATGAGCGAAGTCGAAACCAATTCAAGCGAATCATGCGTGAGTGCACTCACACAATAAACCCAGTAAGCACGATGCAACCTTCTCCATACCCATCCCTGGCGCCATTGCCTTGCTCACGTGTACTAGCCAAGGCCCACAGTGCAACAACGACCTCTTCGCGAAGCCATGTGGCAACGGCACAGCTGCAATGCAAAACTGGACGCCCCAAACAACGATCTACTTACTACCATCATGCGAAGCGGGCAACTGCTGCACCGTGCCATACATCGGGCATGTAATTGGCAGCGATTTTTCCATTGCGCAGCTGCGAGGAACACTCGCTCATATATATATATATATACACATACATACATACATACATACATACATACATACATACATACATGCATGCATGCATGCATACATACATACATACATATATATATATATATATACATATATATATATATACACTCTGGCATTGCGTATTTCTCGGAGGCGGGCGCGGCCCCTGCCGCGCGCGCGCCCGATGGGAACGTGCAGGCGCGGGCGGAAACAATCCGCATCGACCAGGGGGAGCGGATCCAATCATAGTGTGCGTCGGATAGGGCTGCACAGGCAGGGAAGCGGAATCGAATCGGATCGGCTGCGCCCACGCACCACGCAAGCATCGGGCCTCGCCGGTTGAAACTCGGAAATCGAACCGGGCCAGGCTGGAATCGAGACCGACTCGGACCGAAAGGATCGAAAAGGACCCTAGGAGGAGGAGGAGGAGGAGGAGGAGGAGGAGGAGGAGGAAGATTGGATTGGATTGGATAGGATTGGATTGGATTGGATTGGATAGGGCTCGGCCTTGCGCGCATGCTGGGACGACGCAGCTATACACGTGGTGTGACACTCGTGCAAGCTACAACCTCAAATAATCGCAGATCCCGTTTACGAGGTTATGGGTTACGCGCGCCGCGCGGCACTCGACACTTGTGTCTCGGGGCCGTACGCAATAATCAGTGTCACTCGCGAGCTGGGGGGGGACACCCCTCTGGCCCCGTTGGGGCCGAAACCTCGCGGCAATACGTGTGCCAGGCAGGCTCCCGAGGCATCCGTCCAGCCCAAAAAACAAAAAGAAGAACATCACAAGCAAGGTCGGATCGGTGGCCCTGTCGAGTTAGCCCCTCCATCGCCAGACACTCGGGCCCAGAGTGCGACCGATTGGCTAGCGACGAAGCGGCCCCTTCGGGAGTCGCGGAACCGATGAGGACGAAAAGACACATCTGTACTTACTGAAAGCGGACGCTCCTGCCTCGGCGGGCGCGTCGGGCAGGGCATCACTCAGGATGGGTCGGACATCGGCGGCGCGATAGCGAACTCGGCGATGACCACTACCATGTCCGTCGAGACAAGGAGGGACCAGTACAAGAGGTTACTGTATGGCATCCTGCTCTGCGTCTCTGCGGAGGTCAGCTGGTCATCCACAGAGTCCGCGACGGCCAAGATATGGAAAAAACAATACAATCAATCCCAAGATAACGTCATGGACACTCACGCATCCAGCACATACCATGGCGACATGTGAACCTGGGCCAAGCCTAGGATTTGCATCCGGCAAACCACGATGGCGACGTACGCACCTAGGCCATGCCTAAGATTTGCATCCAGTAAAAACCTATGGCGACGTATGAACCTAGGCCATGTCTAGGATTGGGCGGCCACCTCATTTGCTGCAACGCGGGCCCTCTGTGCTGAAGTCAGGACATCCAAGGCTCCGCCACTTCTTGCACTTCCCCTTGCCGCCGGGCTTGTGTCTGCCAAGCATCTTCTGAGCGAGGTTCTCAAGGTGGCCCTGAGGCGCCGTGCCCTGCTTGAGTGCCCCGCCCATGCCCTTGAGTAGCATTTCCGTCGCGCTCTCGATCACTAGCTTAGTGTAGGTCACTGGCTCGCCGCCCATGTCGCTTTGCAGCTGGACCCCGTCTACGATGACAGACTGGAGCCTCGTCGCGTCTTCGCTGTAGCACTTCTGGCAACGGAAGTGTCAGATCGACAAACCGAGCTGCTGCATCCGTCCATTCTGTACGACTGTGATGAAGAACCTGCGCGCCACTTCCAGAGCCTCGCCACCGATCTCGATGCCCGACTCCGCTTCCACTCAGCACTTGTACCCTGCGTGCGCCATGTGTAGATGTGGCGGGCCAAACTTGTCTTTCGCTGTTTAGAGTCCAGCTGCCTCTGCGTAGAGCTTCCCAGCGGCCCTGGAAACCACGATAATCGGTGATGTATATATATATATATATATTCGTCAGAATCACGCTTACCCGGGCAACAGCTGCCATGTCTCGGGGAAGTTGCGAGCGCAGGCAGAAACCTTTTCGGGTGAGGCTCAGCGCCGCTGCGACGTCTTTTCCTCGGAGCGCTCCCTCCACCTGCTGCGGCATGTCCTCTGCCTCGTCCGCCGCCTCCGCCGCCTTGCCTCCCCTTGCGCCCCCGACGCCCCTCGGCGCCACCAGGGGCCCCCCACTTTCTCTTGCCCACCTCGACGAGAGCTGAGAAGTCCATCGCGTTCTCCTCGTCGGCCGATGGCGCGCTGTTCTACTATGTCTACCTTCAGGTTGCGGGAGAGAACAGCGAGCGCGCACGTGCACTTGCATCTCGCATAGACTTTGGGCCCAATGACTTCATGCAGGGCATGGCACGTCGCTTGGGATCCCCGCACCTTGCGCCAAGAAAAGGCTCCTCCCACGGCAGCATATGTTTCGTTTGATGGACCGCATGACGCGTCTCTCCGCGCTCTCTTTCGTTCTCAGTGCATGTGGGCAGCGGAAACATTGATTCGTCACCGCTAAAAGTGCCGCTTCATTTCGTGCGCGGCGAGCGAGGCCCGCGCGGGGGAGGAACGCCATCATGGCGCGGAACTGTTCTTTGCACTTGGCGCCCGTGCTGAGCGCCACGTTGCAAACACACCGGCCCTCCTGGGCCGTCTCCCCCCCCGCCACAGGGGGCCCTGGAGCCTCGGGGTGGTGCTCTGGAGGGCCGAGCGACTTTGCGTGGGCAGCAGCTCTCGGGACCGCGAAGTCCAGCAATGCCAAGTTTCTGTATTCCTGGACGTGCAGCAGTTTAAGAAGGGGGTAGCCCGTGGGGACCAACCCGCGGAAATCCGCACAGCGTTCATGTGCGTGCCTGATGTCCTCCAGAAGCTGCCGGGCCAAGGGGTTGGCCGTCGGCGAGAGCATCCAATCTTCGCCGGTCGCGTTGCAACTCCCCAAGGACCCTAGGATGCGCGCCCTAACCTGACGATGGGCCTCTGGGAGGCGCACCCAACTCTGCAACCGACGTAGACGACGAACTCCATGCTCCTCCGAAGCAGGCAATATTTTCCTATATTCCCAAACGTTTTCAATGGCCATCTTCGGACCTCGCCGCCCCCGCCCTCGGCGGCCCCCCTGGGGGCCCAAGCCCCTGCGCATCGCCAGCATCAGAACGCAATCCGCCTGCCCGCAGAAGGGGGCGT